GAATAAAGGGAGGGAGATGCTACTGTCATCCAAAGGCGAATCCTTATGTATTATTTTGCAAGGAGGGTTTGAGCCAGGCCATGATGGGAGGGAGAGGTTTTCCCGGGACCCCGACACTCAGCGGGATTCTGCATAGGCAGCTGGGGATCAAGGGGTTGGGGTTCCCGGGAACAGGGGCGGCCGGACTGGGGGCAAGGGACGTGGGCAGGGCAGTGCTCTGCGGACCCGGTCCCGGGCCTGGAGTCTCCTGTGGATGCCCGAGAGCGCCGGGAAGCCGTCTGGGGAGGTTCAGGGGCTGGGGGCGGGATCGCGGGTGGGGCTCGGGGGACCGAGGACGAGGACAGCGGAGGAGAGAGACGGGGGAGGGGCCAGGAGAGGGAGGAAAGGGAGCAGGGGGAGGGAGGAAGAAGGAGAGAGAGGCGCGGCTGTTCCGGGCAGCCAGTCCTGCGGCCACGGGGATCCGGCGACGGCGGAGGCTGTACCACAGACCCACGAGGCGCCCCCACTCCGCGCTGCTGACGCGCCGCCCCCATCCCGGCTCACACCCCCGCCCCAGTCCTCTTGGTGCAGGGCAGCGGCGGCCGAGACAGGGAGCTCTGGAGAGCAGGTGAGAGGGCTGGGCGGGCAGGGAGGGGCGCGTCCAGACACTGACTTTCTGGGGTGTAGGAGAGGGTAGCGCCGGGGTCCCCCAAGTCCCTTGCAGCCACGGCGGTGGCCGTCGGGGACATCTGGACTCAGCAGCTCGGGTGCCTGTGCAGTCAGGACTGCGGGGCTGATGCGCGGTTCTCCATCGCCTAGGAGCTCCGAGGTCTGCGTTTCTTGTGCGGGGTGGGAGGATCCGTGGATCTCATCCCGAGCCCCCAAAGCACCCATGACCACCCGGCTCTGTTCAGACTGGGAGGATGGGGGAGTGGCTGCGGGTGGAGTCAGCTGTGATGCTGGACCAGACTGGGGCTGGACCTCCAGGGCAGAGCAGAGACTCCCCCTCCGGGAGGCCTTCCTAAGCCAGGCCAGCCGGGAGCACAGTGGAGAGCATCAGACAGACATCACCCTGAGGTTGGGCCCAAGAGCCAAGGAGGAAGAGGGCCTGGCACCTGGTAGGGGTTCCTGACACCTACCTAGCATTCTCCTACGGGCCCCACAGCCATCCTGAGCCAGAGGAGGCACAGGCTGCACCATCTATGTGGCCTTAGCCAGCTTGACCTTGTTCTGAGGACCCTCACTGCACTCAGCCACTTCCACCCAGCAGTCAGAAGCAGCCCCAGCCCTCTATCTCTAGGCTTAGCTGGGCCTGATGACCACCCAGTCAGTGCCTCCTGTGCCTGCCTACAAGGACGTCACACACTCTCCAAAGTGGAACCAGGCAGTGCCAGGATCCTCTGCACTTAGGTCTGGTTCAGCCATCTGCCTGGGTGTTCTGTCCCCCGGGCCAGCTAAGCCGAATGCCAGCACTGAGTTGTGCCTCTGGGTATGGGTGGTAGTGGAGGAATGGGCTAAACACCAGCTTTGGACTCAGGAGAAAGTAGCAGCTGTGGGTGGAAGTTCTGGTTGTGTGGCTCTGCAGGCCTAGATTTAAGGGGACCTCAAGGGACAAGGTACCCTGCTGCCCTAAAAGCCAACCTCTGCCCCTCTTGATCTGGCTCACTCCTCCTATACCTTCCAAACTGATCTTCCCAGCCTCAGGCTGTTGGGTGGTTCTGAGGGGTCTTAGCCATCATCCCTCCACATTCCCATGGTGCCTACACTTGCGGCCTGCTCACCGGACCCTGCCCAAGTTACAGCTGTCGAGCAGGTCCCAGGATCCTCCCCACCAGCCCAGATGGCTGCTAGAGCTCTGGACCTTGAGGGCCTGGAGTCATCCTTACCTTCATTCCCATGAGCCTTTCTTTCCCTCCTGAAACAACGTCCCCTGGATGTCACACCAGGCTCCAGGCCAGGCCCCAGAGGTGGAGTGCTGAGCATGTAGGTTTCCTCCTACCCTTGAGAAGTTCACAACCTGGTGAGCTGGTGGGGGGAGATTTTAATCCACCAAGCCCACATCAGCTGGACCCAGGAAGAACAAAGCCGGTGGCCCCTGGTACATGGGGAGTGGGCCAACTGGGTCCCCTCCAGGGCTGTTCTGGGGCAGTCAATGGCCTCGAGGGCTGCAGCCTCTCAACCACAGGTCCCAGCTGCAGGCTCCCTCCAGGACCCACTCTTTCCCACTGTGGTCTGGGGCAGGTCTGCATTCGAGATTGGACTCAGGCCTGCACTGAGGCTCCTAAACACTCTGGTCAGCCTGTAGCCTCCTCTGGGCAGGGACAGGCAGTGGGAGGGGAAGTTCATGGCAGACCCAGGTGACTCCCATGTTGATGCCTCACCTTCTCTGTTCCCAGGTGGGCACCTCTGCTCTGCAGGACCAGGAGTCACCAAGATGCCCATTTTGGAAAAAGACCCCCACAAAGTAGCTGCAAAAACTCCCAGCAGTGAGGAGCAGCCTGTGAGTGACTTCTGGGGCCCTCTCTCCTCCCCCTGCTCAGTGGTGAATAGGCCTGGACCTCGGCTGCTACCTGTGCCCAGGTTGAGCTGGGGACACTGTCAACCACATTAGTCAATCCCAAGGCTAGGGAGAGCTGCCTCTGTGACCCCAGGTTCCAGTGGCTTTGAGCATGGTTCAGTAGCTCAGGGTGCAGCTGATTCCCTGTGCCACCCCAGCTGCTGTCACACTCAGCCCTGGGGCATCAGGCATCATCTTCTCCACTGGCAGTGCCCCCTCCCAGGTGGGAATCCCCCTGCCCTTTCTGCCCAGCCTCAGGGATAGAGGTTGATGCACATGCGGGCTCCTCCTGCCCTCTCCCTCTGAAGCCTGCCCACCCTCTGACCTCACAGACCCCCACAGACCCAAGAAGGGGAGGGACAGGAGAGAGTGGTGGGCAGTCTGGCTCACTGAGGTGCTGAGAAAGCTGCATGCTGCCCAGACCTGTCCTCTCCTGGTCTGCCACCCCCACTTGCCAGAGCTGTAGAGACAGGATCGGACAGGCAGGGACTTTCTCCCGCATCAGCACACATTCATGCATTTGCTCATCTGCGCTCAGGACATGGAGTGCCAGGGTGCGGGGTTCTGGTACCTCTAGAGGACTCAGCCACTCCACAGAGGAGAGGCCTTGCAGGCCCACTGTTTGCCACTGTTGTATAATTTTGTTTTTGTTTTGTTTTGTGTTGAGATGGGCCTACCTATGTAATCCAGGCTGGCCTCAACTCACGGTGAGTCTCCTGCTGAGTGCTAGGATTCCAGGCGTGCATCACCACACTTGGCCGACATAGTACAATTTAAGCAGTGATGTAAAAAGTCCTACTGTCCAATCATGGGGGACCAAATGAGGGAGAAGGAAAGGAGGATGTGGGAGCAAAGGGGGAAAGGGGGTGAAGAGCCCGGAGAGGGAAGCAAACGGAGGTTGGCTGCAGACTGATTTCAGCTCTTCGCTCTGCCTCCAGGTTGTCCCCTGGTGGGATGACTTCTGCCACTGTATGCCTCAGTTTCATCACCTGGCTCTGTGACCCTAGATGAATGTGCTCCAAGGGACTCGAGAGGGGAGTGTCATGCCCACCAGGAGGAAGTTGTGGGGCTCTCCCAACCCCAGCTGTACTCTGGGCCCCCAAAAGCCACCAGTTTAGGATTTCTTCTGAAGGACAAGCCTGGAGCATCATAACATTTTACATGCCTACTTGGGCCCTGTTGTTTCCCTCACTGGATTGGCTCTGAGTCCCTGTCTGGTAGGAGTAGTTATGTTCCATGGTGAGGACTTGGAGAGCTTTTCAGAGGAAAGCACTCACCCTCCCTGTTCATGGGGAACAAAAACCCTGCCTGGGCTTCATGAGGAGCTCGGGTGCCAGCCTCTCCCTAGGTGGCACCCAGCAGAGCTCTGATTGGCTGCCAGGGCAGCACAGACCCATACCTCCCACCACGGTCAGCCTGCACTGCCCAGACCCTCTTCCTCAGTGAAGGCTGACCACTACCAACAGTGTCAGTAACAGGACTCTCCTGCACCCATCTGTTAGAGTGGGAGCACTTTCCTATCGGGTGACCTTGGGGTCCTATGGGAGCTAAGGGCCAGCAGCCTCTGATGTAGGGAGAAGCCAAAATACTGGCAAGGGGGAGGACTTGCCCAAGGTCAGCATCAGGGTTAGGCAGGAACCAGGTGTGTCTGTTGCCAATGGCCAGTTTTTCCTCTGCACATTGTGCCCTCCTAAGCCCCCAGCAGAGTGGGGGCAGCAACAGCAAATAGGAGCATCTTCATAATTCTGCTGAACTGAGCCCTAGAAACAGGCCCCGGGGGAGCAGGGGTGGGACAAAGTGAGACACACACCCACTGGGGACAGGCGCTGGCCCACTGTAAGGACAGTGAATGTCTGTGCCCTCTCCACCAGGGGCTGCCCAAGCTGCCAGTGCCCCCCCTGCAGCAAACGCTGGCCACCTACCTGCGGTCCATGCGGCACCTGGTGCCTGATGAGCAGTTCCAGAGGAGCCAGGCCATTGTGCGGCAGTTTGGGGCCCCTGGTGGCCTCGGTGAGACCCTACAGCAGAAACTCTTGGAGCGGCAGGAGAAGACAGCCAACTGGGTGAGCACAGACAAGAAACTCCTGGGACAGGGACAGGTGGCAGACAGGAGTGAGAGGGAAGTGGGACAGAGGAGGGTGCAGGGAGAGACACGACAACAATGGGGGAGGTGGTGCAGGGTGAAGGGGATGGGCAGGCCTGGTGGACACAACCACAGCACAGCAATATTTGTGGAGTGAGTACACAAACCTGACCCCTCCGGGTCCAGGATGGGACTGTGGTCCCCACTGGCAAGGCGCCTCTTTTGGGGGTGCAGCTGTCAGGTAACAGGGCCCCTTCCCGTGCTCCTTCCAGGTGTCCGAGTACTGGCTGAATGACATGTACCTCAACAACCGCCTGGCCCTGCCGGTCAACTCCAGCCCAGCAGTGATCTTTGCTTGGCAGCCCTTCCAGGACACCAGCGACCAGCTCAGGTGCAGCCCCTCGGTGGCTGGGACACACTGCTGCCCTCCAGGGCCAGGTGCCCATGAGCCTCGTGGGGGAGGTGTCCCCAGTGCCATCTGCAGCACTGTCAGAGCTGACTGAGCCCAAGACAGTGATGGCAGGCAGCTGGGCTGGTGGAGTTGGCGGGCTCTGCTCTCAGACCTGGATGGGGCAGCAGTGGGGACATGAGAAGGAGTGTGGGCCCTGGAGGTTGGAGGAAAGTGGCAGGATCATTGGCCAGGAGTCCCCACACCTGCTCTCTGCCAGCCCTGCAGCCACAGGCAGCCCCTCCTCTGCAGTGAGCTTGGCTGCGGATGGGTGGGTGCAAGAAAGGCTCTCCAGCTGGCATCCTCCCGGCCCCCTTGCCAAGAAGCCCGGCCTCACACAGGCAGGGAGTGACCCGTGTCTGGCACAGCTCCCTGGGTCTCTTCCCCAGCACCACTCTCCCTTTCATTAGTGACTAAAGGGCAAATGATGGACTCTCCCAAGAGACGGGGTTCTCCAGAACTACAGGGCCCCTGCCCGTCCAGCCCCTGTGCTGGCCTTTCCCAGGGAAAGCTCCAGCCCTTGCCATCCACCTTCCTGCAGCTTCTCCTGGCTCCTCTCTCTCCTCCTCCTCTTCCTCTTCTTCCTCCTCCTCCAGTTGATTCTGTTTTCACCTCCTCCCCACAGAGCTGCTCCACCCTGGTTCTCACCAAAGGAACATTTAACTCAAGATAGAGCTGGGGGGGGGCGGTCAGCAGGATCCCCCTCCCATTAGTTTTTAGGGGTGGCATATGGTGGGCAATGGCTGCATCTGGAGCAGAAGAAGGGCAGAGAGAGCAGAGTAAGAGGAAGGTAGGGAGGAGGAAGAAGGAAGGAAGGAAAGGAGGAGGGAGGCTGGGAGGAGGGAAAGCAGGAGAGGAGGAAGCTCAGCCCCGTCTGTCTCTGCAGGTTTGCAGCTAGCCTCATCTCGGGCGTGCTGAGCTACAAGGCCCTGCTGGACAGGTAGGCCAGCCCAGCCTGGAAGAGTAGTGCCCTGCATGGCAGAGCTGGGGGGCTCGGGAGGGCAAGGACCCCGCCTCTCCCACTCCAGGTTCCTGGCTTGAATCAGAGCCAGTGTCCCCTGCCCGCCTCCTTCTCACCATCAGGGTGTCGGGTAGCCAACAGGCCTGACCTGGAAGGGCTTTTCTTCCTCGGCCCTTTGAAAATGCCCCTACCTCCCCACCTCTGTGCCCACAGGGGAGTGGGTCTGGCCAGGCAGACAAGTGGAGAAGGAGGAAGAAGAGGTGGGGTAAAGTGATGCTGGCTTGTTCAAGTGGATCCAACTCTTGTCTTTACCTGCCTCGGGCTGAAGGCTTGGACCTGCAGCTGCTCTGAGAGGAAGGCGGGGCCCCAGATCCAAAGGGCACAGAGACCCAGGGTCAGCAGACCTCGATCTGAATTTAGAGACCACAGTAGTGGGGGTGTGGACCTCAGGTGAGGCTGCTAAAGCTACCAAGGGTTTTTGCTGCACCCAGAAGGCAATGTCAGCCCTGCCCCTGCTGCTGGGGCCAAGGACCAGCCTTGCCTGCCTCTCCTGGCTCCTCCCCACTCAGCTTCCACCCCACCCATCTCCTTCCTGCTTTCAAAAGTGCTTCTCAAACTATCTCTGGGGACCATTTTTTAACGAATTACTAGAAAAACGTAATAAAGGCACCAAATACAAGAACAAATGTTCATGATGGGATTCAGTAGACATAACATTCCCACTTCATGGCTGGTTCAGCCACTCTCCCGGTCACGGGTCACCCATGATGTTTGGGTTTGAGAGGCAGTGCATGGGACTCTCCAGCCTGCCTACTCCCTCATAGTCTCTACCCTCTGGGCTCAACTCAGTCAAATGGACTCATCGTGCCCACTCCTGCCAGTTGTCCAGTACTCCTGGCTGGAATTCTTCTCTTTACCAGTCTATTACTTGTGGTCTACTCCCCACCCATGTACCCTAAGACTCATCAGAGCAGGAAAGCCGTATTTTCTCTGCCACTGTATCCTCAAACTCCAGCATGGTGCCTGCCACATAGGAGGTGCTCAGCAAATATGTGTAGGCTTCTGAAAGGGTGAAAGGATGAATGGGTGAATGGGGAATAGTGGATGGGGTGGATGGCTAGGTGAACAAATGAATGAGTGGGTGGTAACTGAGTCAATGGATGCATATCAAGTGGGTGGATGGATGAATGGATGGATGGTGGATAGATGGATGAATGTGTAGACAAATGGGTGGATCAGTGGATGGATGGATGGACAGATGGATGGTAGCCAGATGTATAGAAGACAGATGAATATATGATGGCTAAATGGATGGATGGTGAGTTGATAGTTGTGTGGTGGGTAGGTGGGTGAATGGATGAATGGTGAATGGATGAATAGATGGATGCATGGTGGATATATGGATAGAAAGGAGGGAAAATGACAGACATAGTCATGCGGAGACCACAGGAGAAATAGAATGTTCTGCCTTGAACTCAGAGGAGGCTTCTAGAAGAGATAATGAGTAGGCTCTTAGGGGAGAGAAGCAGAACAGTAGAGTTCAGAGTAGAGGAGAAAGCATGCCAAGCAAAGAGCAGCATAAGCAAAGGCACCAAGGACTAAATAGCAGGTGCATTTTCACATGCATGAGCTAGGTGAGGGTAGAGTAGGGGAAGTTTGGGAAAACCCTGAGGGTTTCCGTAGGCCACAGAAATAGGGTGCTCTGTTACTTCCAAGCATGGAGGCTTGACCACAGCCGCTGACATGATAAAGCAGGGCTGGATTTGGTGCCCTGTTTTTCTTTTCTTTTTTTTTTTTGTATGGGGATCGCCGGACCTGCTTGTGAGGCAGGTGGCAGAACCACTGAGATAAATCCCCAGCTGGCGCCCTGTTTTTCTTAACCAAGTTACAACAGAGTGCTGATCAAGTACTCCGTGGTCGAGGACTTCCTTGACTTGTGCAGGCCCTGGGTTTTATCTCTGACACCCCCCAGAGTTATGATAGAACCAATTCTGATGTTCCCTTTCCCCCTGCACCTCTTACGGCTGCCTGCTCTCCTCCCCTCCTCCAGCCACTCCATCCCCACAGACTGTGGCACAGGCCAGCTGTCGGGCCAGCCCCTCTGTACAAAGCAATACTATGGGCTCTTCTCCTCCTACCGGCTCCCTGGCCATACCCAGGACACACTGGTGGCCCAGAAGAGCAGCGTCATGCCCGAGCCTGAGCATGTCATTGTGGCCTGCTGCAACCAGGTGAGTGACCCTTTGTGGCCACTGCAACCTCTTGGATTTGGGGAGGGTATGGGGTTCGCAGTACCAGGTGTACTTGTCCACTCTTGCGCTGAAGGTGCCCAGCCACCTGGCAGAGTCACATAGTGAGCTGGGGCACAGGGGCCCCATCACTCCCTGTTCCCTTGTTTAGGAAGGGGGTGGTCACCATTAGGGAATCCTTGTCCCCAGCCCACCCTCATTTCAGCTCCAGGAGCCATATCAAGGTGGTTGGGGAGCCCAGCATGGCCTCAGCTTCCACCTTCTCATTGAACTATATCTGCATAGTCACCAGGTCTGGGCCTTCATGGAGATCACACACACACACATACACACACACACACACACGAGACCCCCACACATGCTGGCTGTGGGCCACCACTCACCCTCATTCATGCCATTGAACTCTCACAGTGACATGAAGAGGGGCTGTCAGGTCTCCCTCAGACAGACAGGAAGTGGGGGGCCCCAGGCCTGGCCACCACCCCATGGTCAGCCTTCACATGGGTTCCATGGAGCTGGGAAGAGCCCCACAGGCTCCTGACCCTTCTCAGTTCCCACCACACTGTGTTCTGTTTGTTGAGGCTTCACAAAATATTGCATCTGACAAAAGGCCTTATTTGCTTAAATTCTGGGATATTTTCATTGGTGCTTTTCACTAAACCCAAATTTGATGACCATTTTGGAACCCCCTCATCCCTGCCCACGCTGTTCCAGTGTTTTCTTCTTGGGCTTGCATTTCACACATCCAGTAAATTGGAACTCAGTGGAAGTCTGCCCTCTGAGGGCGGCTGTGACCACTGTCCCAAGGCAGCCCCCCGACACCCAGCAGCAGCCACACAAGGAAACCTTGCTCCTCATGGACAAGTCAAACCCAGCACCTCCATCTTCCACATGGTGCAGTCCCAACCCCTCAATTTTAGCACCCAACTCAGGGCTCCTCCTCCTACCCAGCCTGGGGACACTAGGCAGGGTGGGGCAAGGACTCCTGTCCACCAGCTGGTGAGGACCCCCTGCCTTCACACAGCCCAGGCTCTGGCCTTTGGAGCTGCAGAATGTCAACACTGCACAGCTTATATGCAGAGCATTGTGGCACACACGTGTGCATGAGGGTGCACAGATTGTTTTGCAAGCTGGTTTTCAGTCTTGCCCTCCACCTTGTCTGCTGGCTAGCTTTTCTCTCCACTCACCCATGTGTCCGAGGCCCAACCCTGTGGGCTCCCTGTGGAGCTCTCATCCTAGCTCCTGCTGCGCTGAGTGTGGACACAACTTTCCACGAGCACATGACATTCCTTGCGGCCTTCCCCGCCTGGAGGGAGGCTCTGCTACTGTGTGCTAAGGCAAACAAGCAGATAGGTGCACATCCTTCCAATGCACCTCAGGGGACAGGATGTCTCTCTACACCTTAGGCTAAACTCTGCTTGCGTAAGTACAACCGCTGAGCGCCAGGTATGCACATTTGCAGTTTGAGAGACACCACCCTCCAACAGCGGTTGTGCCAATTTACACCTCAGTGCCCCAAACACAATGGATTAACATGAGCTAGGAGCCACACAGCCTGTTTTGTTTTGGTTTTTTCTGGCGAGGAGGGGCTAAATTAATCTGGTCTTCTTTGAGGGAGCAGTGTGAGTCCACCACAGTCAACAGCATTGAGCTGTTCCCCAAATTGGGGTAACTCAGACCCCAAACCCCCTGGAAGGCTGGGGCCCAAGCATCCTCTGTCTCAGGCTCTCTCAGAAGGCTCACCAAAGGCATGTGGCCCCAGCTAGCTGGCCCACGTGACTGCTGACCTGTGTCCCCACAGTTCTTTGTCTTGGATGTGGTCATCAACTTCCACCGCCTCAGTGAGGGAGATCTGTTCACCCAGTTGAGAAAGATCGTCAAGATGGCTTCCAATGAGGATGAGCACTTGCCTCCCATCGGCCTGCTCACATCAGATGGGAGGAGCGAGTGGGCAGAGGCTAGGACGGCCCTCGTGAAAGGTCAGTGCCCACCTTGTCCCTCCCATCTGTCCTGCTCAGGTGGCCAGCTGAGCCAGAGGCCCTGTTGTACACTTGTGGTGTTGGGTAATGCTAGCCTTCCAGTGAGGCTAAGGATTGTGTGGACATTAGGATGCTGGGAAGGGGTTTTGTGCAGTAGGAAAGATGCTCCCATGTGGTGCTGGCTGTGATTTACTGGTGCACTGCCTGTGGTTTTCTAGAGATTGAGTCACTGGGAGTGCGGTTGGATGGGGCTTCAGGGTAGAGCCAGCTCTGGGAGGCACAATAGTTCCTTCACCTGATTTATTGTCCTGTTCAAGTTCATCCTCATCCTCCGAGCTGCCCTCTGCTCCATGAAAGTTTCCACACATTCCCATAAGAAAGCTGGTAACGGGGGTAACCCACTTTCCGGTCCCCCTTCTATCTCTCTTAGACAGAAGCTTTCCTCCCCTCAATAAATTTTGTCTACTTAAGAAAACAAAGACAAAAACAAAAACAAAAAACAACAACAACAAAAAAGAAAGCTGGTAACAGCCTTGAAATGTTTTGATCATCCTCTGGAAACTACTTTTCAGACCAAAGCCAGAGCGAGTTGGAGTAGGATGGAGCACCTTCCTTTCATGCCTCCAATAAGATGCAGGGTTCTAGGAGGCCTCACCTGCCCCCAGGGACAGTACCTGGTCAGGCAGTTGCTTGGCCACCCTGTGTGTCTTTACTGGAGACCCTGGTGGGGCTTGGGGTGAGGGACAGAGGGGGAAGGCCCTGCCCTGAGCATCTCAGTGCAGGATCAGGCTGAGGGCATGGGCAGGGGACCCGAGTGCCCAGGACTGCCAGATTTACCTGTGTAAAGCAATAGAGACTGCAGGTGCTCAATCAGTACTCCGGGAGGGAGCACTGCGGGGAGCGAGACCTGTGCCGTGAGCCAGAACAGCCAGGGGGTGGAGGATGGCATCTAATGTGGGCAAAGCTGCCGTTCAGCAGGGGTGTGCTTGCTACTGCCCGGGGACCACAAGGAGAGTAGCTGCCAGCAGAGATGGCTGGAGGGGACACCCTGGCCCCTGGCTGTCTGACACCTTTTGAGGTCCCTCTCTCTGGAAGGCTCCTCCCTACCATCCTGAAGAGCTCAAGATTCCGCCTCCTGGCACTGCCCTCACATTGGCCACCATCATCTGGGCCGTGTGTGACTGGCATTCTGAGGGGAGTTTTGCCCACATTTGGTGGATGAGTGCAAATTTTGAAGTTCAGGCCCATGTCTGTGTAGTTAGATTTTTCTGGTGCTGGGGATGGAACCCAGGGCCTCACCCGGGTGGGGGAGCACTCACCACTGAGCTGCAGCCCAAGCCAGCTCTTTTCCCAAATCCACTGTGCAACCACAGCGGCTGCCCAGTTGTGTTCATTAAGTAAAAGAATGGAGGGTGAATCAGGTGCTGGCCACTGATACACTGCCTCCTTACCAATGAACTAGTCTCTCATCCAATTATTGGGCATGTGCTGACTGCTTTTCTAAAAAAGAGAGCTGCAGGGGCCGCCAGGCGTTGTGAGTGGACTCTTCTCCGGGATCTGACCACTGTGCCTGGGATTAATCACTTACCATGAGAGAGTGAGTTAAGTCCCACAGGGGACTGCAGTGAATCACATCCCCCGCCTCGCCCCTCCAAGGACAGAAGGCAGGCTTCAAAATAATCACCTCTGTTTCCAGCCTGCTTCCCACTTTATTAGAAGCCCAGGCTCTCAACACTGTGACACTGACGGGGGTTGCCTGGAGGTCTGAGTGCTTAGGCTGCACTCATTGGAATTAATTTGTTAATGGCTGTTGAGCTGGCTTCTGAATGGAAGAGCAGTTTCTGAGGGAAAGGAGAGAACACATTCAACCCCCTGGGCAAGTAGGCTGATCCATTTAGCACCCCTGACTGATCCACTCCTTCCTGGAGGGTGGTTCCTCCCCTGCCATGCCCATGGAGGGGACCAAGGGCGACCCTTGCTGAACATTTCCATTTCAGAGTGGAAGAGAATGGTAGTGTGGACAGGGTCGACAGTGAGGTAGAAGGTACGGGTGGATCTGGGCATAACTCCAAGGCTTGAGAAGGGAAAAGAAGAGAGAGAGAAGGAGAGGGAGGAAGAAAGAGGGGGAGCTGCTGGGGTTTGACTGGGCCACTGATTGGGTTTGGGTGGGGCACTGTTTGTGGAGCTGGGGGACAGTGGGGAGTGGGTGCGATGTGTCTGATGTGTGGCTCATGGAGTGATCCAGTGGAGATGTCAGATTAGGTCTATGTGTTGGGGCTGGAGGAGAGGCCGGTACAGAGATAAATTTGAAAGCCATCAGCACCTAAATGACATTTCAAGTCATGGACCTGAGTGAGATCATCTAGAAATAGGAGAGCAGGGTCCTGGAGGTCAGGGAGAGGAAGATGCAAAAGAGACTGAGAAATGGCAGTTCACAGAGCAAAGGAAAACCGGGAGCCACAGCGTCCAGAGGGACAATGGAGAGCATGGCCGGATGTGACAGGAGGATGGGACAGGCTGGGTGTGAGTGGCAGGCTGGAGCAGCAGCAAGGAGTGGACAGCTCTGTGTGGACAGGCTGCCCAACAGCAGAAAGGAGTTGCCCATGAGGCACTCAACGTGCAGGCAGAGCCAGCAAGGGTGGGCGGCTGTTGAGACATCCGGGTGTTATGGAGCAAGAAAATGCTTAACTTATGGAAGAGTGTGAGGGTCCAGGAAGTGTTTCTGGTAGGAGAGGCAGATGCAGGGGTGTAGACAGGGCAAGAAGGGATCCAGCTGGAAGGAGGTTAAATGGGGTTGGGGGTGAATGCAATGGCTAAGCAGATCGTATGGATGGGAAAACAGGAACTGGGGCTCCAGGCTCAGTGGCAGGAGTTGTGGAGGCTCCTGCCCTCCAGCAGTTCCTGGCTGCAGAGCAGCAGAGACAAGCGTGGTGGGGTGTGAAGATAGTGTGGTGGGCAGCAATGTGGGGGCTGGTGCAGTGCAGCAGCAGGGACAGTGCCCTGGGGATCAGAGTCGAAAGGCTCCAGATGCAAAGGAAAGGGATGAGGGAGGAGAAATTGCTTAGGAGTGGGAACAGGGTAGAGGAGCCTCCCACCAACTTGGCCCCGAGCTGCATGAGTGTGAAGGAAAACTGTCCCAAGAGGGCTGCGGGGACTGGGCCACAGGAGCACACACTCCGATGAGCTTGTGCAGAGGACCTGGCTGTGCGGGGAAGTTGGCGAGTCCAAGGTTCCAAGGCAGGTGGTCCAGAGCTGAGGAGGAAGGAGGGAGGTGATGAGGAGAGGGGAGGGTCAAGGGTACAGTGAGCATTGTCAGCCATGTCCCCTCCAGGCCTTAGCTAGGGGAAGCTGCTCCCAGCTCCTGGCCAGCCGGGGCCGGAGCTGGCAGTGGTCACAGGGCCTGGGCTCCCTCTGGCCCATAGCAGTACCTGCATTAACATCACGGAGTGGGGCGTGCTGAGGTCACTGCTGCCTCCCCCCCCAGGACCTGAACACTGGTCCAGTGGGCACTGTCCACCAAGGAGGCCTTGCCCAAAGCAAGCTCCTCTCACCCTGGGGAGACCTGGTCCTGTGTGCGTTGACCCTTCATGTATGCACTCTTTCCCTAGAGACATGGTCCCAGGCCCTCCACCAGCCCCAGCTCAGACATCCCTTCCTCAGAGGTCTCGGGCTGCCTGCCTGGCCCTCTGCCCTGACACTGAGAGGTGAAGCCCATGGAGGTCCAGGGACCAAGAGGGTAGAATAGCCTGCTCACAGGAGCAGGGCTGCATGCTGCAGCCCTCACGCCTTTCCTGCCTACCCCCCACCCCAATCACCAGGAGCTTTACACACAGAGATATCGCTGTTGGCAGCTGCATCAGCCACTGTCAGCCTGGGGCCACAGTGCCAGGGGGTACAGCAGCATTTCAAACAGAGTCCTGGGGGTCCCTGGCCAGTCACAGCCCAGGTGCGTGCAGGGCAGCGTGACTCAGCCCTGGCTGTAGATGGGGTTGGTTGATGATGTTAACCTCATCTGGAGCATTCTTCTGAAGACAAGACAGATGCCTGGGCCCTGGTGATATTCCCAGGGCTGGGAGAGGGGCTGGGGAACCTATTTTTAAGGCAACCTGACAGTTTCCTGTGCAGCCAGGTTGGAACCAACTCGCTCAGACAATCACTAGAGTTTCAGAGCACCCAGCCACCCCTCGTGCACGGATCTTAGGGTCTTCAGTCATCAGTGACGCCTGTGAGATGGAGATCTCGCCCCTTGAGCAGAGGTGGCAGCTGTGTCCCCAGGATCCAGCAGTTCCCCACCTTGGAGGCAAAAGCATCCAGCTCCCTGCCTGGGATAGGCAGCTCCTGGAGGGAGGGCAGGGCACATCTCTCAGGACTTCCCTTCCCATCAAGCCGTGAATCCGTGGCCTTCCTGAACCCAGGAGGAACTAACACCGTTATCCTGGTCTGGAAATTTAATTAGACGTTCAGCCCTGAGTCTGGAAGACAGCAGCGCTTGTCAATTTGTAGGAAAAGGATGGTCAGCTTGGAGGCCCCTGAGCGCTGGCTTTCCTGGGGGCTGTGAAGAGACTTTGCGAACAGACCACTAGGGCAGATGCTCTCTGTTTACACAGCTCCATAAATATTTATCCCCAGCAGCCAATTAGAGCTCGGCCGCTGCTTCCGAGGAGGGAAGGGACGGCAGCTGCAGACGCCACGGTCATGGTCACAGCTTACAGGAACCTCTCAGGATGGGGGCATTCGGCTGTTTAAATACTGCCATCCAGAGCTAGGCAAGTCTGCTGATTTTATAACCAATGACACATTGGCAGTAACAGCGTCTCTGATTTAATTGGCCCAGAAATACCTCCCATGTTCCTGGCTGAATGAGATTTCCTTTCTCTGGGGAGGGCCTGGGGCCACATCTCCCCCAGGAGAAGTGTAGGGCCCTTCATGGACCAGGGCATTCAGACAGAGAGAGGTCTGGCCCTGCCCTGCCCTTCTGTGTCCCTGTAGCTTGGCTTCCC